AGATAAATTTTATAAATGGTTTATGGTTTTAAATTTGATAGTTTCAATGAAATGAAAATGTTCCTTGAAAAATACAAACTATGAAGGTTCACTTAAGAAGAAATAGATGTCATGAGTAGTTCTATATCAGTTAAAGAAATTAAATATGTAGTTAAAAACCTACTGAAAAAGAGAACCCAGGCCAGATAACTATATGGGTGAGTTCTACCAAACATTTAAGAAAGTAATCCTCTCAATTTTACACAATCTCTTCCAGAAAGTTGCAAGCAGAGAACATTCTCCAACTCATTCTGTGAAGGCAGCAATACACTGATACTCAAACCGGACAAAGATGTTACAAGATAATGAAACATACAAACTAATATCCTTCATTAATAAATGCAAAAATTTTAATCAAAACTTTAGCAAATTGAATTTAATGATATATTAGAAAGATAAGAATTGATCATTGGAATGCAAACCTAGTTTAAAATTAAAATATCATGCAATTAAACACATTAACAACAAAAAAAGTATGACCATCTCAGTATACTCAGGAAAAAACTTTTACAAAAATCCAACATCCATTTCTGATGAAAGATATAGCCAAAAGGGGAAATCTTCAACCTAATAAAGAACTTCCATGAAAATCCTACTGCTAACACCATATTTAATGGTAATAAGTTACACACTTTATCCCTAAGGTTAGGAACAAGGCAAGGATGTCTGCTATTATCACATATATTCAAATAGAAGGTATAGGCAGTGCACACAGGCAAGAAAAATATGTAAATATTATTCAAATTGGAAAATAAAAATAACACTATCTTAGTTTGCAGAAGTGATAATCTATATTAGAAAATCAAATAGACTCTACCAAAATCCTAGAAATACTACAAAAATTTAGCAATATTGCAGGATACAAAATCAAAATAGTAAAAGAAATTGCTTTTCTATATTCCACCAATGATTAATCTGAAATTGAAATTTAAAAACACCCTTACAATAACATTAAAATATAAAATGCAAAAAGATATGCAAGACCAGCAAATCAAAAACTGTAAAACAGTTATGAGAGAAATTAATGAAGGTCTAAGAAAAGGAGAAATGCAAAGGAGACATAAACAGAGAAATGTTTATGAATTGTCAATTTAAGATACCAGTTTTTCCTAAATTAATGTGTATATTAAATGAAAACTGAAAGTTTTTTTCAGAAATTGAGTAACCAATTTTAAAATTCACATGGCAATACCAAGGTCCCAAAACAGCAAAAAGTAATATTTTACAAGAGGAACAAAGTTGAAGTACTTCCTAACATCTGTTGTTATTGTTATTGTTATTGTTGGTGGTGATGGTGGTGACAACGTCTCGTTCGGTCATCCAGGCTAGAGTGCAGTGGCGTGATCTCGGCTCACTGCAACCTCCACTTCCTGGGTTCAAGTGATTTTCATGACTCAGCCACAAGAGTAACTGAGTTTACAGGTGTGTACCATGTCTGGCTAACTTTTGCATTTTTAGTAGACGCGGAGTTTCACAATGTTAGTCAGGCTTGTCTCAAACTCCTGAGCTCAACTGATCTGCCTGCTTCGGCCTCCCAAAGTGCTAGGCTTACAGGGTTAGCCATGGTGCCTGGCTCTAATTTCTATCTATAGAATAAAATCAAGATTATTACCTGACTTCAAGACTTACTATAGAACTGTAGTAATGAAGACAGGTGGTATTTGACACAAAGATAGGAAAAATAAAATCAATAGAGCTAAGTAGAGAATCCAGTAAGAGACAAACATTTGTGGAGAACTGATTTATGACAAAGGTACAAATACAAGTCAGTGGAAGAAAGACAGTCTTTTTTAAAAACAAATGATGTTAAAATAATTAGATATCTATAGGCAAAATTAAAAAAAAGGGTTTTTTTGGACTACATATAAAAATTCCTTTAAATTTGATCATAAAAAAGTATAAAATGCAAAACTACAATACGTACAGATAGCTAAAAGAAAGGCTTTTTGACCTCGAGTTACACAAAAACTTCTCAGATATGATTTCAAAAATATGATTTATGAAAAAATAAATTGTTTAATTGGATTTTATCAAAACTAAAATCTTCTGCACTTTCAAAGGCACAGTTTAAAAAAGAAAAATACAACCTACAGACTAGGACAATATAGTTGCAAATCATATATCTGATATCGGTATTTTAAAAATGAGACAAATATCTTAACAAACGTTGACCAAAAAAGATGTAAGAATGGCAAATAAACAGAAAAATGATGCTCAACATTTTAGTCATTAGGGAAATGCAAATTAAAATCATATCTAGATGCCATTACACAGCTAGTAAAACGGCTGAAATGAAAATTACTGACTGATTATACCAACTGTTAGTAAGCATGTGGAGCAACTAAAACTTGCATCAATGCTGATGGCAAGTTAAAATGGCAAAGCTACTTTGGAAAATGGTGTGGCAATTTTTTGAAAGTTAAGTATACACTTTGAATATGACGCAATCATTCTGCAACTAAATATTTACATGAAAGGAAAAGTGTTACAAAGGCTGATACATGAACGTTTCTACCAGCTTTATTTTTAATAGCTAAAATGTAGAAATTATCCAAATGTCCCTGAACAAGTTAGTGAACAAACAAACTAATATATATTCTTGCAGTGAAATACTACTCAGTAACAAAAAGGAATTAACTGTTGTTACATGCTATAATACAAATGAATTTCAAAATTTGTGCTGAGTTAAAGATGTCAGAATGAAAAGCATATTTTTATCAATCCATTTATATAAAGTTCTAGAAAGTTCAAATTAATGAGTAGTGACAGACAGTGCTTGAGGAGGGGAAGACGAAGGATACAAGAATTACAAAGGAGCATGAAGAAAGTTTTTTAATGATGTATATGTTCATTATTGTGACTGAGGTGAAAGTTTCATGGGTGTATATATAACAGTGTCTTCCAAAAAGTGTAAGACAAGGGAACACTTCTTAAATAATTCCGTAAATATAGAATTAATCTAATACAAAAACAGTTGAAGATTTTACAAGAAATGGAAACTACAGACAACAGCTATCATAAACACAGATGCAAAAATCCTCAACAAAATATTAGGAAATCAGTTCCAACAATATATAAAAAGAATTATACACCAAGACCAAATGAGATTTATAGTAGCTATGCAATGATGTTCTGAACATTTGAAAATAATGCATTCGGCACACCAACAGGCTATAGTACATTAAGAGTATTTGACACTTTAAACACTCATTAATGGTAAAGAAAAAAGTTCTCAAACTAAAAATAGTGAGAAATTTCCTAAACTTGACAAAGAACATCTGCAAAAAGCCGAAAGCTATTGTCATGCTTAACAGTAAGAAATTGCATGTTTTCTCGCTACATTCCAGAGTAACACAAGGATATCTCCTCATCACCCTTATTCAGAATTGTACTAGAAGTCATAGCTAGTGCAATAACACAAGAAAAATAAAGAGTATACATATTGAGTAGTGAGAAAATGTTAGTAACAAAAAGCTTTCAGAACTCAACAGTGAAAACAGAGTGAGCAACATATACGAAGATACATTTCAGCTAAGAACATTTTCAAAATAATTATCCATTACAAAAGCTGAAAATAAAATCACCATATCACTACACACACATCAGAATTGCTAAAATGAAATATATTAACATCAAATGCTAGTTGGAATGTGCAGAATTTATTTCACTTTGTTGCTAGTGAGGATATGAAAGAAATGGTACTGATACTCTGCAAAACAGTTTGACAATTACTTAAAAAATTAAACATCCACCTACCACCTGACTCAGTAATTGAACTGCTGGACTTTTATCCAGGAAAATAAAAACTTCTACACTAATATATAGAAAACCTGTACACTAATGTTTATAGTAGATTTATTTGTAATAGTTAAACACCACAAACAATCATCAGATGTTCTTCAATATGTGAATGGTTATACAAAGTGTGGTATAGCAATATCATGGAATACTATTCAGGATTTAAAAAAATACTGTTACACACAAAAAACTGGGTAAGTCTCCAGATAATTTTGAGGAGTACAGAAACAATCCCAAAAGGTTAGATAGTATACGAATTCATTTATATTATATTCTTGAAATTTACCATATTATGACATTGGAGAACAAATTAGTGGTTGCCAAGGTTAAAGAGGGGTGAGGTAGGAGAAAATCAGATGTGATTATAAAAAGTTAACATGAGAATGCTTGTTGTGATAGAAATGTTCCATATCTTGACAGCACCAATGACAATCTCCTAGTAGCAATATGGTACTATAGTTTTGTAAGATGTTATCATTGGAGGAACTCGAGTAAAGGATTCACAGAATCTTTCAGAACTATTTCTTTCAACTGCATGCAAATCAACAATTACCAGAAAATTAAAAGATTATAATTAAAAATTAGTTTGGTTAGTGTTTCTGCACAGATATCTGGTTTGTACTTGCAAATTATGAACATTAAGTGAAAAATATTTGTATTTACTTAAGTATTCATTCTTATATTGTCTGGCATCTACTTCGTTTATTTATTTACTTATTTTTGAGATAGAGTTTCACTCTTGTTCCCCAGGCTGGAGTGCAATGACGCGATCCTGGCTCACTGCAACTTCCACCTTCCGGGTTCAAGCGATTCTCCTGCCTTAGCCTCCCCAGTAGCTGGGATTACAGGCATGTGCCACCACGCCTGGCTAATTTTGTATTTTTAGTGGAGATGGGGGTTTCTCCATGTTGCCCAGGCTGGTCTTGAACTCCCAACCTCAGGTGATTTGCCTGCTTCAGCCTCTCAAAGTGTTGGGATTACAGGTGTGAACCACCGCGCCCAGCAGTTTGGCATCTACTTCTTAGGTTTTTTCCATTCTCTAATTTTGTTTAAAATCTGGAGATGTAGATAATCCAAAAAAGGAGTAGTACTTCCATAACCAATTAAGCAGAGCACATATATGTATATATTCAGTCTAATTTATATCCTTTACCTCCTAATAGAAAATACTTTTCTCTGCTGTGTTGCTGACTCAAAGGTCCGATCCCCTGCCTGGAAGCTAACCTTGGCTAGATACTCAGAATTATCTCTTCTATTCGCACAACCAACCTTTTTCAAAGACTCAGAAGACTGGATCAAAATTTTTGCATATGTTTGATGACTCACAGAAGCACACACTATATGGTGTGTGATTTTACAGCCTTTCTTCTAAACCCAGACTTGCTTAGTTATGCATTCTTTAATGGGCCAAGAACGCTACAACTTCCACTCTGCTCTACCAGCCGCTACAGGCTTGGATTTCTATCAATCAATAATTAAATTTATTAAATGTAGTAGCCTTTAGCAAGCACCAAGTTTAGTTAGCTAAAGCTTAAAAGAAAAAAACAGGCTACATAGTATCCACAGCCAGAGTATAGAGGAAACATGTGATTCCTAGACTCAGCTTCTGGTGTCCCAGGCATTTTATGCTAAGAAATGAGGTTGAATATGTGCAGACAAACTCAGCTCAGGGAAGCCAATAAGCTCTAGGATCCCTTTAGCCTTTATAACCAGATAATCACTTAGCCCTTCCAATATATATGACTAGGAGTCCATGACCAGCTTCCATCTACAAAGGCAGTTGTGTGTCATCAAAGCTGGTTTTTCCTTATTTAATAAAAAATGTTGACAGTGTCTGGTTCAATACATATTTTGATCAGGTTCATATCTCCCTTGAATTTAGTATAGAATTTTAAAAATGATTTTATGAGTATATAAGAATAATTGGCCAAGAATCAAATCCTCAGACATCTCTAGAGCTAAAGGAAATGACACAGAATCAGCTGTTCATCCTTTTCTTTGAGTTTCAGAGCAGGCTTCAAGGGGATATTACCCTCAGTGGCTGCAAGGGACTTACTACTTCCTAGCATAAGGTGTCAGAGCCCCTGCAGAGATATGAGATGTCAGAGCCAAATTAAAGTGAGGAGAGGGATAGTCCAACATGGAATGTCAGAGCCTGAGTACAGAATGTGCAGGTGAAGGAGCAGCCAAGTGTGTTTTGTCAGAGCTCAGGCACAGTAACAAGAAAATGCATAGAGAAAGGCAGTCCAGTTCAAGGCGTCAGAGCCTGATGGGAGGAAAAACAGGGTGTTAACTAGAGGCACCATCTAGTGACAAGTGCCAGAGATTCAGCAAGGTGAGGAAAGCATCAGCATAGGAAGCAATCTAGCAAGAGTATCAGATCTTGATCAGGATAAGGAGGGCATCCTTAGAGAAGGGTATCCTGGAGCGAGGTGTAAGTACACAAAGTGGCAGAGAAGGGAAAAGATAGGCAGGGTGAAGTTCAGCTGCATGGTATCATTGCCAGAGTGTAGTGAGGAAGGCAGCCGTGAAAGAGCAACAGAATTCTGAGAAGTGTGAGGAGGGCAACCATGTTAGGAGAAGCTGGTAGCAATGGCAGCAATAGGAGTTTGATAATGCATGTAAGGACTCATGAAATATATATACACACACACACATACATACACACAAACATATATATGTTTAGAATATATATTTATTTATATATGTTTAGAAAACAATGGGAACTAATTTTCTCACTATTACAGAAGAAATTATAAATACGGAAAAGGAAAATATTATATGAAAGCATGGTGATAGTCCGGCATCAGAGGCTTCATTGTGAATTCATGGTTTTCAAAACATCTAGATGGATACAGAAACAAATATACACATAAGTTTTCACTGTATTATATATTGTACTACAATTAAATATGTAGTTATTTTACACTACTTGTGTTTGTACATACATATATTCCTTAGCCCTGTCCACTGAAAAGGCTGGGGAACAATAATGTCTCAGCAACAATGAGCATACCCAACACGGATTATAACTTCTAAATATTATTCTCCACTAAAAATAAAAAACCAGCTAGTGTCCTCAGAAAAATGCTGGCTTAACGGCTGGGCCAGAAAAACTACAAGATGATCCTGGGTATCCTGGGCCAGAAAGCAAGTGAGCTCTCTAAAATAATGATGCAGATGCATGGAAAAGACATTGAAACTAGGTAAAGGGATTCCCACTGACCAAACCAGGACCATTTTAAGGAGCAAATTAAATAATGATACAATGATATAGAGTTAACCCATTGACAAAGTACAAAACTAGGTGTCTTTTCTGATATAAATTAATGTATGAAAAAATTAAAAGTTTCATGAGAAACAGTGTATTCTTAAAGTTTGAGTGTCTCTCCTGATAGAATAAGTATTAATTACAAAGGGAATAAGAATAACTTTAGTCTGGAAAATGCCACCTAGGTCAAGTGATCAAAGCACACATCATCAGTCGGAATGAGACAAATTGAAGCCATGTGTTACTTCACTAGCTGTCAGTTGCTAATACTCTGACCTGTAAAATATTAATGAGTTTAAATAGTCAAATCTTGTTTGATCATTGTACACGTTAGTAGCGGACTAAAAAAAATAATGAATGTAAAAAACTGTATGCCTTTCTCCCAGGACATTGTAAGAAGGGCATTAGGAGTCCAGGTATCAATGTCATTTTTTCAAATGCTGAAGACTTTGGTGATGACATTGGCCCCACCACTTACCATATCAGTCCTCTTGCACAAGCTCTTTGACCTTTCTGGATCACAGCTGTTTATCATTTAAAATTAGTGATTGGACTGTGGTCGTTCAAGGGATGCCTACTAAAACTCTGGACATCTAACCCGAAAAGTAAGTTCATGTTCTTTAAAAGTATATACATTGCTATATTTGAAAATGTGTTTATCTGTACAATGAGATAACACTTGATTACAATTATGTAAACAAACTATTATTTCAGTATAATCAAATTGTCTCTCTTGACACAAAAGAAGAAACTTTCTGGTACAGTGTTCATGTTTTATTGACCATAGCTGACGGCCTGAATTTTGTCTTTTACCCTGAGTAGTCAATGTTGCTATTATAGCATTAAAGTAGTATAACCAGTTGAAATGGTAATATGTCATAGCTAATGGTCAAATGGCCCAATCGCTGAAATAAGATTTCTTTTTTACAACTTTTTTTACATTCAGAAGTGCACATGCAGTTTCATTATGTAGGTAAATTGTGTCATGGGGGTTTGCTGTACAGATTATTTCATCACTCAGGTAATAAGTATGGTGCCCAATATGCAGTTCTTTTTAATCCTCTCCCTCCTCCCACTTCCTCTAACTTCAAGTAGGCCCAGTGGCTGTTGTTTCCTTCTTTGTGTCCATGTTTTCTTAATGTTTATCTCCCACTTATAAGTGAGAACATGCAGTATTTGGTTTTCTGTTCCTGAATTAGTTTGCTTAGGATAATGGCCTCCAGCTCCATCCATGTTGCTGCAGAGAATAAGGTCTTGTGTTTTTGTTTGTTTTTCTTTCTTTCTTTTTTTTTTTTTTTTCTGTGTGGTATTCCGTGATGTATGAGTACCACAATATCTGTATCCAGTCTACCGTCGATGGGCATTTAGGTTGATTACATGTCCTTGCTATTGTGAATGATACTATGATCAACACATGTATGTATGTGTCTTTATGGTAGAGCAATTTTTATTCATTTGGGAATGATATCAGTTCTTCTCTATACATCTGATAGAATTTAGCTGTGAATCCATCTGGTTCTGTGTTTTTTCTTATTAGTAGGCTTTTTATTACTGATTCAATTTTGGAACTTGCTATGGGTCTGTTTAGAAATTCAATTTCTGTCTGGTTCAATCTTGGGAGGTTGTATGTTTCCAGGAGTTTGTTGATTTCCTCAAGATTTCTTAGCTTGTGTGCATAGAATCGTAGGTTGGTGCAAAAGTTACTCTGGTTTTTGCCATTGAAAGTAATGGTGAAAATTGCAATTACTTTTGCACCAATTTAATAGTAGTCTCTGAGGGGTTTTTTTGTATTTCTGTGGGGTCAGTGGTAATGCTCTCTTTGTCATTTCTGATTATGTTTATTTGAATATTCTTTCTCTTTATTAGTCTAGCTAGCAGTCTATTTATGTTAATTATTTCAAAATACCAACTCAGGGATTTATTGATCGTGTGTGTGTGTGTGCTTCTATTTCCTTCAGTTCAGCTCTGATTTGGGTTACTTTTTGTTGTAATTGGCTGGTCTCAAACTCCTGACCACAAGTGATCTGCCAGCTTTAGCCTCAGTGCTGGGATTGCAGGTGAGAGCCACTGCTCCCGGATGGATTTGGGCTATTTCTTGTCTTCTGCTAGATTTGGAGATGATTTGTTTTTATTTCCTGAGTTCCTCTGGATGTGATATTAGGTTGTTAATCTGAGATCTTTCTGACTTCTTGACGTGGGCATTTAGTGCTATAAACTTCCCTCTTAACACTGCTTTAGCCAGGCTCCAGAGACTCTGGTATGTTGTCTTTTTTCTCTAGTTTCAAAGAATGTCTTTATTTCTGCCTTAAGTTCATCGTTTACCCAAAGTCTTTCAGGAGCAGGTTGTTTAATTTCTATGAAATTATATCATTTCGAGCAATTTTCTTAGCATTTTTATATTTTTTATTGCACTGTGTTGGGAAAGTGTGGTTGGTATGATGATTTCTTTTTTTTTTTTTTTTTGAATTTGCTGAGAATTGTTATATGGCCCATTGTATGTTCAATTTTAGAGTGTGTGCCATGTACAGATGAAAAGAATGTGTATTCTATTGTGTGGGGGTCAAGAGTTCTGTAGTTGTCTCTTAGGTCTATTTGGTGAAGTGTGGACTTCAGGTCCTGAATGTCTTTGTTAGTTTTCTGCCTTGATGATCTGTCGAATACTGTCAGTATTGAAGTCTCCCACTACGATGGTGTGGAAGTAAGTCTCTTCTTAGATCTCTAAGAACTTGCTTTATGAATCTGGGTGCTCTTGTGTTGGGTGCATATATATTTAGGATAGTTAGGTCTTCTTGTTGAATTGAACCTTTTACCATTATGTAATGCATATCTTTTTTATCTTTGTCGGTATAAAGTCTGTTCTGTCTGACACTGGGACAGCAACCTCTGCTTTTTTCTGATTTCTATTTGCTTGGTAAATGTTTCTCAATCCCTTCATTTTAAGCCTATGGGTGTTATTGCACGAGAGAAGGATCTTTGGAAGACATCATGCTGTTGGATCTGGCTTCTTTATCAGCTTTACACTCTGTGCCTTTTAATTGGGACATTTAACTCATTTACATTCAAGGTTAACATTGATATATGTGGATTTGATCCTGCCATTGTGTTGTTGGCTGATTTTTATGCAGACTTGTTTGTGTGGTTGCCTTATAGTGTCAATGATCTGTGTAATTAAGTTGGTTTTTGTAGTGGTTGGTAACAGTGTTTCCTTTCCATATTTAGCACTCCTTTCAGGACCTCTTGTAAGCCAGGTCTGGTAGTAATAAATTCCCTTATAATTTACTTGTCGGAAAAGGATTTTTCTCTTTTGCTTATGAAACTTAGTTTGGCTGAATATAAAATTCTTGGTTGGAAATTATTTTCTTTTAGAATCTTGAATATAGGCCTCCAATCCCTTTTGACTTGTTGGGTTTCTGCTGAAAGGTCTACTCATGGGGTTCCTTTTACAGATGACCTGCCCCTCCTCTCTACCTGCTTGTTAACATTATTTTTTCTTTCATCTTCACCTCGGAGAATCTGATGATTATGTCTTGTAGATGGTCTTCTTGTATATTACCTCAAATGT